TCAACACCCATATATGAGTGACAACATGCCGTGTTTGGTTTTCTTCTTTTGTCAGTTTGCCGAGAATGATGGTTTCCAGATTTATCTATGTCCCTACAAAGGACACAAGCTCATTGATTTTTATGGCTGCATAGTATTCCATGGTGTATATGTGCCACATTTTCCCTGACCAGTCTATCATTGAAGGGCATTTGGGTTGGTTCCAGTTATTTGCTATTGTAAACAGTGCCACAGTGAACATACATGTGCACGTATCTTTATAGTAGAATGATTTATAATCCTTTGAGTATATACACAGTAATGGGATTGCTGGGTCAAATGGAATTTCTATTTCTAGATCATTGAGGAATTTCCACACTGTCTTCCACAATGGTTGAACTAATTTACACTCGTACCAACAGTGTAATAATGTTCCTATTTCTCCACATCCTCTCCAGCATCTGTTGTCTCCAGATTTTTTAATGATCACCATTCTAACTGGCCTGAGGTGGTATCTCAATGTGGTTTTGATTTGCATTTCTCTAATGACCAGTGATGATGAGCATTTTTCATATGTTCGTTTGCCACATATTTGTCTTCTTTTGAAAAGTGTCTGTTCATGTCTTTTGCCCACTTTTGAATGGGTTTGTTTGTTCTTTTTTTTGTAAATCTGTTTTAGTTCTTTATAGATTCTGGATATTAGCCCTTTGTCAGATGAGTAGATTGCAAAAATTTTTTTCCATTCTGTTGGTTGCCAATTCACTCTAATGATTGTTTCTTTTGCTGTACAGAAGCTCTGAAGTTTAATTCGATTCCATGTGTCTATTTTCGCTTTTGTTGCTATTGCTTTTGGTGTTTTGGTCATGAAATCCTTGCCTATGCCTATGTCCTGAATGGTTTTGCCTAGCTTTTCTTCTAGGGTTTTTATGGTGTTAGGTCTTATGTTTAAATCTTTACTCCATCTGGAGTTAATTTTAGTGCAAGGTATAAGGAAGGGGTCCAGTTTCTGCTTTCTCACATGGCTAGCCAGTTTTCTTAACACCATTTATTAAACAGGGAATCCTTTTCCCATTGCTTGTTTTTAATCAGGTTTGTCAAAAACCAGATTGTTGTAGATGTGTGGCATTGCTTCCGAGGCCTCTGTTCTGTTTCATTGGTCTATATATCTGTTTTGGTATCAGTACCATGCTGTTTTGCTTACTGTAGCCTTGTAGTATAGTTTGAAGTCGTGTAGCATGATGCCTCCAGCTTTGTTCTTTTTGCTTAGGATTGTCTTGGCGAAATGGACTCTCTTTTGTTCCATATGAAGTTTAAAGTGATTTTTTTCAGTTCCGTGAAAAAGGACATTGGATGCTTGATGGGGATATTGTTGAATCTGTAAATTACATTGGGCAGTATGGCCATTTTCACAATATTGATTCTTCCTAATCATGAACATGGAATGTTTTTCCATCTGTTTGTGTCCTCTCTTATTTCCTTGATCAGGGGTTTGTAGTTCTCCTCAAAGAGGTCCTTTACATCCTTTGTTAGTTGTATTCCTAGGTATTTTATCCTCTTTGTAGCAATTGTGAATGGGAGTTTGCTCTTGATTTGGCTCTCTGTTAGTCTGTTATTGGTGTATAGGAATGCTTATGATTTCTGCACGTTGATTTTGTATCCTGAGACTTTGCTGAAGTTGTTTATAGCTTAAGGAGATTTTGGGCTGAGACGATGGGGGCTTTAAATATACAATCATGTCATCTGCAGATAGACAATTTGACTTCCTCTTTTCCTAATCAAATATGCTTTACTTCTTTTTCTTGCCTGATTACTCTGGCTAGAACTTCCAATACTATATTGAATAGGAGTGGTGAGAGAGGTCATCATTGTCTAGTCCCAGTTTTTAAAGGGAATCCCTCCAGTTTTTGCCAATTCAGTATGATATTGGCTATAGGTTTGTCATAAATAGCTTTAAGATACATTCCATCAATACCTAGTTTATTGAGGGTTTTTAGCATAAAGTCCTGTTAAATTTTGTCAAAGGCCTGCTCTACATCTGTGGAGATAATCATGTGGTTTTTGTCGTTGATTCTGTTTGTGATGGATTACAATTATAGACTTGCATATGTTGAACTAGCCTTGCACCCCCAGGATGAAGCCTACTTAATCGTGGTGGATAAGCTTTTTTGATGTGCTGTTGGATTCGGCTTGCCAGTATTTTATTGAAGATTTTTGCATCAATGTTTATCATGGATATTGGCCTGAAGTTTTCTTTTTTAGTTGAGTCTTTACTAGGTTTTGGTATCAGGATGATGTTGGTCTCATAAAATGAGTTAGGAAGGATTTCTTCTTTCTGTATTGTTTGGAATACTTTCAACAGGAATGGTACCAGCTCCTCTTTGTACGTCTGATAGAATTCAGCTGTGAACCCGACTGGACCTGGACTTTTTTGGTTGGTAGGCTATTAATTGCTGCCTCCACTTTAGCCCTTGTTATTGGTCTGTTCAGGGTTTCAACTTCTTTCTGGTTTAGGCTTGGGAGGGTGCAAGTGTCTAGGAATTTATCCATTACTTTCAATTTACTGGTTTATGTGCATAGAGTTGTTTGTAGTAATCTCTGATGGTAGTTTGTATTTCTGTGGAATTGGTGGTGATATCCCCTTTATAATTTTTTATTGCATCTATTTGATTCTTCTCTTTTTTCTTTTTTATTAGTCTGATTAGCAGTCTGTCTATTTTGTTGATCTTTTCAAAAAACCAGCTCCTGGATTTATTGATTTTTTGAAGGTTTTTTTGTGTCTCTATCTGATCTTAATTATTTCTTGTCTTCTGCTAGCTTTTGAGGTTTTTTAATCTTGCTCCTCTAGCTCTTTCAATTTTGATGACAGGGTGTCGATTTTAGATCTTTCCTCACTTCTCATGTGGGCATTTGGTGCTATAAATTTTCCCCTAGACACTGCTTTAAATGTGTCCCATAGATTCTGGTAGGTTGTGTCTTCGTTTTGATTGGTTTTGAAGAACATCTTTGTTTCTGCCTTCATTTCATTGTTTATCCAGTCGACATTCAGGAGCCAGTTGTTCAGTTTCCATAGTTATACAGTTTGGAGTTAGTTTCTTAATATTCAGTTCTAATTTGATTGCACTGTGGTCTGAGAGATTGTTTGTTATGATTTCTGTTCTCTTGCATTTACTGAGGAGCAATTTACTTCCAATTATGTAGTCAGTTTTAGAGTAAGTGCGATGTGATGCTGAGAAGAATGTATATTCTGTGGATTTGGGATGAAGAGTTCTTTAGATGTCTATTAGGTCTGCTTCGTCTCAGATCTGAGTTCAAGTCCTGGATATCCTTCTTAATTTTCTGTCTCATTGATCTTTCTAATATTGACAGTGGAGTGTTAAAATCTCCCACTATTATTGTTCAGGAGTCTAAGTCTCTTTGTAGGTCATTAAAAACTTGCTTTATGTATCTGGGTGCTCCTGTATTAGGTGCATATATATTTAGGATAGTTAGCTCTTCTTCTTGTATTGATCCTTTTACCATTATGTAATGCCCGTCTTTGTCTCTTTTGATCTTTGTTGCTGTAAAGTCCATTTTATCAGAGACTAGGATTGCTTCCCTTGCTTTTTTTTTTTTTTCTCTCCATTTGCTTGGTAAATCTTCTTCCATCCCTTTACTTTGAGTCTATGTGTGTCTTTGCACTTCAGATGTGTCTCCTGAATACAGCACACTGATGGGTCTTGACTTTTTATCCACTTTGCCAGTGTCTTTTGATTGGGGCATTTAGGCCATTTACCTTTAAGTTAATATTGTTATGTCTGAATTTGATCCTGACATTTTGTTACTGTTTGGTTGTTTTGCCAGTTGGTTGATGCAGTTTCTTCATTGCATTATTGTTCTTTACCATTTGGTACATTTTTGCAGTGGCTGGTACTGTTTGTTCCTTTCCATGTTTAGTGCTTCCTTCAGCAGCTCTTGTAAGGCAGGTGTGGTGGCAACATAATCTCTCAGTAATTGCTTGTCGGTAGAGGATTTCATTTCTCCTTCACTTATGAAGCTTAGCTTGGATGGATATGAAATTCTGGGTTGAAAATTCTTTTCTTTAAGGATGTTGAATATTGGACACTATTCTCTTCTGGTTTGTAGGGTTTCTGCTAAGAGATCCACTGTGAGTCTGATGAGCTTCCCTTTGTGGGTGACCTGACCTTTCTCTCTGGCTGCCTTTAGCATTTTTTCCTTCGTTTCAACCCTGGTGAATCTGACAATTATGTGCCTTGGAGTTGCTTTTCTTGAGGAATATCTTTGTGGTGTTCTCTGTATTTCCTGTATTTGAATGTTGGCCAGCGTTGATAGGTTGGGGAAGTTCTCCTGGATTATATCCTGAAGAGTGTTTTCCAGCTGGGATTCATTCTCCCCATCACCTTCAGATACACCAATCAAGCGTAGATTAGGTCTTTTCACATAATCCCATATTTCTTGGAGGCTTTGTTCATTTTTTACTCTTTTTCCTCTTTTCTTGCCTTCTCCTTTTATTTCATTAAGTTGATCTTCAATCTCTGATATCCTTTCTTCTGCTTGATCAATTCAGCTATTGAAACTTGTGTATGCTTCATGAAGTTCTCGTGCTGTGTTTTTCAGCTCCATCAAGTTGTTTATGTTTTTCTCTAAGCTGGTTATTTAGTTAGCATTTCATCTAACATTTTTTCAAGGTTTTTAGTTTCTTTGCATTGGGTTAGAACATGTTCCTTTAGCTCAGAGGAGTTTGTTATTACCCACCTTCTGAAGCCTACTTCTTTCAACTCGTGAAACTCATTCTCCATCCTGTTTTCTTCCCTTGCCAGTGAGGAGTTGTAATCCTCTAGAGGAGGGGAGGTGTTCTGGTCTTTGATGGTTTCATCATTTTTGTGCTGTTTTCTTCCCATCTTTGTGGATTTATCTAGCTTTGATCTCAGGGAGCTGCTTGAGGAGGCAGACCTTCTTTTGTCTGCCTGCAAAGGCACTGATGGGCTGCCACAGACTCAGCTGAGCTGCTGCATATATTTCCTGTGTCATTTGTTTACACAGGAAGATTAGACCTGCCTCTGCAATGGTGGCTGCCCTTTCCCCCACTGAGCTCAATCATTCAGGATCAAGCTCGAATGGATGTGCCGGCTGCAAAACTCTTAAGCAATAGGGCTTCAGTTTGCTGGGCTTTGTTGGGGAGAAGAGACCCACCTAGTGTATTGCCTGACTCAACTGCTTTCAGTTCCCCTTCTTCCTGGCGGGCAGGTAGCTCAGTCCCACAGGCTTTCTCAGCATTAGCCAATGCATCCACTTAGATCTGTGCTGACAACCCACAGCACTGGCCAGGATTACTGCTCAGCTCTGTGCACTTAACTCATGGGTGCTTTTCAGCCCGGGGAAGATCTCCTGTTCTGTGGGTTGCAGAGGGCTTGGGTGAAGCACAGTATCTGAACCAGAGTGCCAGAGGGGGAGAACCCCCAATCCTCTGGTCAGAAGCACTTCCCAGGTGGGGCAGTGGCCCACTCTGCCTCAGTTTGCCCTCTTTGGTTTAAACTCACTGTCCAACCAGTCCCATTGAAATTAACCTGGTGCCTCATTTGGAAATGGGGAGATCACTCGCCTTCTGGGTCTCTCTCACAGGGAACTGCATTTTGGAGCTGTCTCTATTCAGCCATCTTAATTGCTTTAAGAATAGAACTATTAGAATAATTTGGTAATTTTTTACGTAGTAGTCCCTCTAATATTTAGCTAGAGAATGTAAGAAAATGCAATGTTGTGTTATACACAGATGGTTGATGTCATGCTTTAGTTTGGGCAAAATATATTTAAATACATTTTTCAATTACTTAAAATGTGATATTATGAACACTCCTTTCTTTTTTTTTTTCTTTTTCTTCTTTTTTTTTTTTTTTTTGAGACGGAGTTTCACTTATGTTACCCAGGCTGGAGTGCAATGGCGCAATCTCGGCTCACCACAACCTCCACCTCCTGGGTTCAGGCAATTCTCCTGCCTCAGCTTCCTGAGTAGCTGGGATTACAGGCACGCACCACCATGCCCAGCTAATTTTTTGTATTTTTAGTAGAGACGGGGTTTCACCATGTTGACCAGGATGGTCTCGATCTCTTGACCTCATGATCCACCCGCCTCGGCCTCCCAAAGTGCTGGGATTACAGGCTTGAGCCACCACGCCCGGCAATGAACACTCCTTTCTAGAATGCTTTGTGCAATGGTTAATCTTTTGTTATTAGAAAAGAGCCCCTTTTATATCTCTAAAATGCTAACAAAAGAAATAATTATGTACCCAACTCTGGTCATTAGGAGCAAATAATATAACTTTTAATAAAGTATTGAATAGTCCTGAACATATATTTCAGATAGTACAAATTTGTTAATCAGGAGAAATCATGAATAATTGATTTATGTGCTTCCAACAGCTTAATGGCCTACAGAAACAAATAGATTCTCCCTAGATAATCCATATGTCTCACTGATTTATTGAACCCTGAAATACTTCAAAGTATTGAACCAAAAATACTTCAAAGGCAGTAGGGAAATCAAGCAAGACAATTTTCAAATCATTTTTAATAATACAATTTCTATCAAAGTCAGCGGATGTTCCTCAGAATGAGAGTACCAGCTCAAACATCTATGTCTGTTATGATCACATGTTATGTGACATCTTCTTTGGGTCCCAATAGAACACAAATCAATTTACAAATGTATAAAATGATTAACATCATCAGTACTCTTTCCAGAGATTATCACCTCTGAGCTATACCTATTGTTGTGAGTAAATGTCTAAATTTTAGTTTATTTTATTTATTTGAGGCTCAACATATACTGGAAAGCCTCCTATACATGATTTTCAACCTCCACTTTTCATACACATATTTTTAAATGGTGTGGTAATCTAGGATCCTTCTGAAGAATCAGTCAATGATATGATTCTTTTTAAATCCACATGCTTAGTGATATTGTGGTATGTCTGTGTGTCACTCTTCATGTTCTGATGCAGCTCTTGGGCCAAAAGTGTCAGTTCACAACTACATGTTGAGCACTCACTACCCTTTCTCTGCTATGTGGTAGTTTTTTTTGTTTTTTGTTTGTTTGTTTGTTTTATCATAAACACAATCATTGTACTTTATATTTGATGAATTATCTTTAATTGTCCAATATATAGAATGTGTATGTGATGAAAAGTATACACTAACTACTGTGCTAAGATTTTTTCATCAGTTTGCATTTACCCAGAGCAATCTTGTGACATAAGAATAATTTTTAACCCTCATTTTAGAGATAAGAAACCTGAGGCTTAGAGTGACTAATTAATTCAACAAAGATCATATAGTTAGTAAGTGGCAGAGGAAATTCAGGTCTGTCTAACTTCTTTTATCCATTCATTCTTTCATGAAATAAATGTTCATTGAGGACACGTAAGCAATGCTTTGCAGTAAGTTTTGATGAACTTAGATAAATTTAGTTTGAACCCCAAATCTTAACAACATACTATGCTGTCTATAGGCATTTCCTCCTAATGATATTTTTAAATAGACAAAACAGGCATTATTTTCCATAATCTATATATAGACAAGACAGCTAAGGTCATATAGCAAGTGACTTTTAGACCTGGGATTGGAATCTAGATCTCTAACTCTAGGTCTAGGAGATGTTTCTACTATGAACTTGGAGTCCTAAATCTTTTCTTTATTCTGTACATATTCTATCCTTGAACCCAAATGGAGCTAAACTGTACATCCTATCAGTCTCCTCGGCCAATTCAAATCTTGCATCCATCGTGAAACCTTCTTCTCTCTCCTACATTGATCTCCCACTTCTTTAATATTCTGTGACTCAATAACTTATTGATATAGCCCCTTGACATATTTTTTAAAACTATTTTGCCAAAGAATGTACCTTTACAACTCTGGAATTGCAATATAAATGGGAAGATATATTGTGTTCTAACATCTTTTATTATCTTGGTACTGAACACAGTGCTTGCCACAAAGAAGGTAAAAACTGAGTCCTTGTTTAATGAATGATAAGATTCTAAACAACAGGTGAATTAATATCCAGATTGCCCATTTGAAATGATAAGGCTCTTTTTACTTCAAGACTATGTCTTTTTTAGATTTGATATTATAAGCGAAATGTATGTTTGATATATATGAAACTGCATTTTGATTAATTTTCACGGCACATTGTCATTAACCTCCGTTGGATAATATTAGACATGAGTTTCCCAAAATGTGCTTCTTAGATTTTCAGTCCTTCAAGGTGCTCTGGTTAAAAAAAAAGTCCAAGGTGCTCTGGTTGAAAAAAAAGCCGAGAGTAATCTTTGGCCATATGAGATTAGGAAACATCGATGCTGTATAACCCTTATTGGAGATTCATGAGGAAAATTATTATGTCAAAGTCTCAGGAGTCTATATTAAAGAAATCTGTTTAATCTCCTTTGTCCTCTATTTCCCAAACTTCCTTGACCACTGATTATTTTTATTTTTATTTTTATTTTTTTTGAGATGGAGTTTTGCCCTTGTTTCCCAGGCTGGAGTGCAGTGACATAATCTTGGCTCACTGCAACCTCCACCTTCCAGTTTCGAACAATTCTCCTGCCTCAGCCTCCCAAGTAGCTGGGATTACAGGTGCCCACCATTACACCTGGCTAATTTTTGTATTTTTAGTAGAGACAGGATTTCACCATGTTAGCCAGGCTGGTCTCAAACTCCTGACCTCGTGATCTGCCCCCACTCAGCCTCCCAAAGTGCTGGGAATACAGGCATGAGCCACCACACCTGGCAACCAATGATTCTTATTTGACATTATTCCTTCTGTTATCTGATGGAATTTTTAAAACTTTTGGAAACCCTGCATAAGCTCAATCCAACTGTTGATTATTCCCTACAATGCAGTTTCTTTAATGTGTCTGGTGACATCTAGATGATCCATAACAATATTAGGGAGTGAAGGTCCTCATCAGTGTCTCTAAATTTTTCAGATATGGATGCAACTATTTTTTTCTTTCTAAATATTTCATATAATTAATAATTAACCCACAGAATGGGAGAAAATATTTGCAAACTATCCTTCTGACAGGGATTAAAACCATAACATGTGAGAAGCTCAAAAACTCTATAGGAAAAAATCTAATGATTTTATTTAAAAATGGGCAAAAGATCTGAAAAGACATTTCTCAAAAGAAGACATATATATGGCAAAGAGACATATAAAAAGGTGCTCAACATGACTGATTATCAGGGAAATGCAAATCAAAACTATAATGAGATACCATCTCACCCCAGTTAAAATGACTTTTATTAAAAAGACAGGCAACAATAAATGCTGGCGAAGACATGGAGAAAAGGAAACTCATACACTGTTGATAGGAATGTAAATTAGAACCATCACTATACAAAACAGTTTGGAGTTTCCTGAGAAAACTAAAAGTAGGGCTACCATATGATCTAGCAATCCCACTGCTAGGTATATATGAAAAAGAAAGGAAATCAATATATTGAAGAGCTATCTGCACCCCCACATTTATTGTAGCACTATTCGTTATAGCCAAGATTTGGAAACAAGGTTTTATGGCTTACTTTGGGGGAGAAAGCAGAGAAGGAGAAAGAAGGAAGGAGAGGATTGGAAAGACCTTGCTTCTGAGGGCTCTTCAGTGTTCATCCGTTCAAAGTAGCCAGCAAACCAAGACCCCATACTTCGGGGTTTTGTGTTTGGACCCCTGAGACTCACAACTCAGAAATTTTTATCCCATGGTGCTTTAAATTCTGGTGAAGTAAGAAGCATTCACTTTTTTGAAATTTCATTCAGATTAAAAAAAATTTTTAAACACTTTTGCTCAAAGAACTTCCCCCAATTTCAGGCATTAGCCCCAATCTTGGGAAAATCAAAAGAATCCAGTGATTGGCCTTGGCTATCTAAGAAACAAACCTCCAACAATGAGTCTTTATATTCAACTTTTTGGGAAAATAAGTACTGCTTAGTCCAGTTATCTAGAAGATTCTTCTAATGAAGCAGGAATTACTTGTCTGAATCCTATAATCACTCATTCACTTAGAATGTCTGTTTAGCTCTTTTTGTGCAATGCATTCTACTAGGTACTGTGTGAGACAGAGATGTTTAAGACATGGCTCCCATCATCTAGGTGTTTAAAGTCTTTTGAAAAATATCTCATGTACATGTAAATTTTTAACAATATCAAAAGTTAAAAATGCCATGTAAGAGATATAAATAATATACTTTGGGAGTTTATAAGTAGAAGAAATTACTTCCTACTGGGAGTATCCTAGAAAGTCTTGCAGAGGAGATGAAAGGACCTCAAAGGGTCAGCAGAATAAAGCTATGAGGAAACTGGCAAAAAGAATGAGGGTGGCTATAGATTATTATAGGTAAAAAGTTAGCATGAACAAAAATAGGAAACCAAGAAGCCATGAGGCAGGTAATGAATAAGTAGAAGGAAGCATACTCATAACATGGAGGAAAGGTTTCATAGAAATGAATTTTACAGCCTAGAGTTTATTATATTATAAACGCATTTGGGGTTGATTAAGCCCAAATGGCAGAGAATCTTAAATGCCAAATGAGTTTGTTGATACTAATAATAAATAACAATAGCCACAGTGATATTATAATAGTAGTAATTACAGTTAGCTTTTATTGAGGATTTATCATATGTCAGTGCTGTTATTGTTATTACATTTAATCTGTCAACAATCCTATAAAGTAGGTACTCATTTTACAGATTCTCCTAATTTTATAGATGAGAAAGGGGATTCACAGAGAGCTTTTTTCCCATGGTCACATAATTAGGAGTCTGCTCTTTATTTAGAAAATTTCCTAGAGCTAATATACTAAGGTGTTACATGGCCCTAAACCACCATCTTTTGCAAAATGCTATTGAAGTCAAGAAGGATGGGAGGCAAGAGAATGCTTGGCATTTTTCTAAACGATTTGTTAAGGTAAATGACACGATACCTGTCTTTTCAGAGTTTGTTCCTTAAAATAGATAACTAAATTTATATCCTTTCTAAGCCCATTTTCTATTATCACACTTAGTCAATACATAATATGTACTTGATTTAGAGAATTACTGTAGTTTATAAAAATGAATGTTATAGCCAAGATTTATTATATTACTGCTAACCTTTTTTTCTACATTGTCTCTCTATTTGGTATTCCTTTATCATGCTAAAACATTATTTTTTATTATCCCAATATAAGATTAGTCATTGATAGTTCATTAGGGTGAGCTGAAGAGATGTCTGGTTTTGGATCAACAACTGGGCTAGCATTTGACCTTGAAAAGATTTTATGAACTTTTTGTTCTTACTATTTTATTTAAAGCATACCTAAAACTATAAAAATATTGTCATTTTTGCTTTTTTATTATTTTATTATGAATGGTGTTATTTATTTATGATCCATTAGGAAAATTATGCATATAAAGTTATTTTCAATTAAATTATATTTGATATAAGATAAATAATGAACAAAGCAGAAAAATATAACAATATTATAGAGAACAAATATTTAAAAGGTAGGGGAAACATTCCTTGCTTTGTCAGAAATGCAATAACAAAGTTAATAGTACCTGAAATTATTTTAATTTATCCAGCATCCCCAAGGGTAAAAAGGTGCCCCCAGCCCTCTTGAATTGCAACATGTTTTCCTCCCTGTCCAGATTCCTCTCCCCCAGCAAGCATGCCCATCAAGGGTGGTAAGAAAGCATGTGTGTAGACTAGATGTACCAACAGCAGGTTCCTTATGAGGCCCCATGGGCAGCCAAGACATGTGCATTACCCACTGTGGATTTTTTGTTTATTCTCTGTTCTGTGTTATAAAGATATTGTTGAAAATGTCCAAAAGGCCTACAGATACCCCTATGGGTATGGGTAATAATTAATTTAAAAAGAAGAAGCATTCATGTATGCCTATGGCACAGAAAGTCAAGCTGTTGGAGAAACTGGATATTGGTGAAAGTGTGAAAATCTTACAGAAGAGTATGGTGTTGGAATGACCCCAGATATAACCTGAGGAAACAGCAGAATAAACTGTTGAAGATTCTTACTCAAAGTGAGGAGCAGAAGATAATGAAAAACAGAGAAACACTGCATAAAGCCAAAATGGAAGATCTCAGTTGTGTATGGAAGGAATGGATCTGTTGGTATTGCAGTGAACTGATGTCACTTAATAGTATGCTGATTATGAAACAAAGATCTATCACAATGAACTGAAAATTGAAGGGAACCATGAATATTCAGTTAAAGACACAGCTTTAGACTTGTAAAGATTGTGGTAGTAAAGCATCTGCTGATTACAAAGCAGTAAAAAAAAAAAATTTAGTAACAAGTTTGCCAAGGTCATCACTTGTGAAAATTGGGTGCCAGAACAAGTCTATAATGCTGATGAAACATCACTGTTTTGGCATTATTGCCATTATTGCTCCAGGAGGACACTAACCACAGCTGATGAGACAGCCCCAACAGGAATTAAGTATGCCAAGGATACTACCTGTGCTGGGATGTGCTAATGCAGCACATTAGTGTAAACGTGCTGTGATAAGCATAAGCTTGTGTCCTTGCTGTTTTTAAGGAGTGAATTTCTTACCAGACTGTTATGCTAACAGAAAGGCATAGGTCACCAGGGACATGTTTTCTGATTGATTTCACAAACATTTTGTACCAGTGGTTCATGCTCACTGCACAGAAGCTGTACTTGATAACAACTGCAAGATTTTGTTATTTCCTAACAACTGTTCTACTCATCCGCCAGCTGAAATTCTCATCAAAAACTTTTATGTCATGCACTTTTCCTCAAATGTGACTTCAATAATTGAGCTACATGATGAGGGTATCCTTAAGTCAATGAGGAAGAAATATAAAAACACTTTATTAAACAGCATGCAGCATCAGTGAACAGAGGTATGGGTGTGGATGTTTTCCAAAAGGAGTTTAACATGAAGAATACTGTATATGCTGTTGCCAAGACTTGGAACATGGTGACTAAAGACACAGTTTTGCATGCCTTGTACAACCTCTCGCCTGCGGCTATGTTCAGTGATGATGATGAACAAATTGGTACTTTGAAGGATTCCCATATGTCAAGTGTGAGAAAAATGATTTTGGACCTCCTCTCATATGCAAAATATGCATTCAGAGTCTATCAGTATGTTAGGCTATTCTTGCATTGCAATAAAGAAACATCTAAGACTATGTAATTTATAAAGAATAAAGAGGTTTAATTGGTTCATGGCTCTGCAGGCTGTACAGGAAACAGGGTGCTGGCATCTGCTTGGCTTCTGGGGGGCCCTTAGGGAACTTTTGTTCACGGTGGAAGGCAAAAAGGGAGCAGGCATCTTACATGGAGAAAATGGGATAGAGAGTGAGAGAGTTAGGAGGGGGTGCCAGACACTTTTAAATGACCAGATCTCATGTGAACTGAGAATGAGAGCTCACTTATCACTAAGGGGATGGCCCAAGCCATTCATGGCCCAAGCCATCCACCCCTATGACCCAAACACTTCCAATACTGGGGATTACATCTCAACATGAGATTTGGAGGGGACATTCAAACTATATCAATCAGAAAGCTGGAAGAAGTGCATATCAATGAAGTTTTTTAACATTGAGGCTCCAGTTATTCATTCATTGACCAATTCTGAAATGGCTGAAATGGTTCTGAATCAACGTGATTGTGATAATAGTAATGATGAAGATGACATTCACACTGAGGAAAAAGTCCCTGTAGATGACACGGTGAAAATGTGTGGTGGACTTGTTGAAGGTCTAGAGCATCATGCATTCATAGCAAGAAATCAAGTCAGTTTGTGAAATCAATGAGAAATTTGTAAGACAAAAGACATTGTAAATGAGGCAAATGACTCTGTAGGAAACATTTAAAAAAGCCAACCAGTAGAATGCCTCCTGATCCCTAGAGGACCCACTTCGTGGTCTCTCACCTGCTTCTGATGTTTCTTCCCACCTAAAATAATAAAACATAGGCCAAGTGCAGTGGCTCACACCTGTAATCCAGCACTTTGGGAGGCCGAGGCAGGCAGATCACGAGGTCAAGAGATCGAGACCATCCTAGCCAACATGGTGAAATCCCATCTCTACTAAAAATACAAAAATCAGCCAAGCATGGTGGTACATGCCTATAGTCCCAGCTACTCTGGAGACTGAGGCAGGAGAATCACTTGAACCCAGGAAATGGAGGTTGCAGTGAGTCAACACTGCACCACTGCACTCCAGCCTGGGCAACAGAGCAAGACTCCATCTCAATAATAATAATAATAATAAATAAAACATAGTCTGGGTGTGGTGTCTCACGTCTGTAATCCTAGCAATAGGGAGGCCAAGGCAGGTGAATCACCTGAGGTCAGGAGTTCAAAACCAGCCTGGCCAACATGGTGAAATCCCATCTCTACTGAAAATAAAAAAAAAAATAGCTGAGCATGATGGCAGACACCTGTAATCCCAGCTACTTGGAAGGCTGAGGCAGGAAAAAAAATTGCTTAAACCCGGGAAGTAGATGTTTCAGTGAGTGGAGAAGTTATGCCACTGCACTCTAGCCGGGCAACAGAGAGGGACTTGGTCTCAAAAAAATAAATAAATAAAGTAAAAAATAAAATGCAGTTACAGAAACCTTTTAATCAAAACACAGCATCATAGGTGGAGCCTGGAAGCCTGCCACTATTTCTTGTTGCTCTTCTTTAACAGCTGATGCAGGTATTCTTGTGATGCTACTGTGCTGCTTAGTTACCCTGAACACATTATATTTTCCTGTATTAAGGGTATGTCATATTTTTTACTATTAAGTACTTGTGAGTAAGTATAAAAAAAGATTGCTTATCAGTAGCATGTAATTTCAGAATCAGGAATTGTGGTGATGCCAAACAGCCACAGTTTATCCATATGGGCAGCTAAGATAGTGATACCTTTCCTTTCTGATGGCTCAAGGTACACAAACTTATTTAAATGCACAAAATTATTTAAAATATTGTACTAAATTACCTTCGGGCTATGTGTACAAGATGTATATGAAACACAAATGAATTTCATGTTTAGACTTGGGTTTCTTCCCCAAGATGTCTTATTATGTATATGCAAATATTCCAAAATTTGAAACACTTCTGGTCTCAAGCATTTTGGATAAGGAATACTCAAATTGTAACACAACCACAGTAGAATCTGGGAAAAGTTTGCTAAATGTACATGGAAACTTAAAGATGTTATTTGGCTGTGAAAAGAAATCAACACAGAACAAAGTGTTCTGTGGACACAGAGGAAAGCAACATGTTGGAAATTTTGTCTGTATATTATTTTAAAAGACAAACTGCAATGTGACTATACAGTTCAAATTCATGTCAATTCTTGTATCCAACATCAGCTAAGCTGTGTAAATGCTACTGAGCTGATTGTTAGCACTTCATTTTTAAAAATTTATTTTAGATTCCAGAGGTACTGAAGAAGAGAATTCCTTCATTGAGCATCAGTTTTCTTAGCTCTGTTAACAATTAATTACTGTTTTATAGAGAGAATAAAACATTATTTGTAAAACCAAAAGCAAGAAGAGGAATTAATTCAATGACTATTTCATGATGTAGTATATGATTTTATAACTCAAATTGTTTTAAGCAAAAATATACACTTTGAAAATATAATGGTTTTTTATTTGTAAAATATAAAGGAACATATCTAAAAATCCAGGGAAAATTCAAGTTTCAGTTGCAGCTTGAGTCTGAGTTCTCCAAAAAAGGTTATTAGGACCTAGCCTCTTTCCATCTCTTCTTTATTATGCTGTATGTTGGCTTCCTTCTCAGATTTCAAATGGTTTAAGTAAGACTGCCAGTATCACTAAGGTTAAGTCTTTGCAGTCTTATGCCCTGTGTGTATAGCAGAGGGAGGGCGATCTAACTTTTATTGTACTAAATTGGATCATGTGGTCAATTCTGAATGAAATATTTTGGCCAGGGAACATAAAAAGCACTCAGATGCATTACTTGTCTATTGCTGTATAACAAACGACCACAAAACTTCGCAGCTTAAAACGACAAACATTTTTTAATCTCGCCAATTCTGTGGATCAGGAATCTAGGCATGGCTTAACTGGGTCCTTGTTTCAGGCTCTTTCACAAAGCTCAGTCAATGTGTAGGCCAGGGCAGGAGGCTCATCTGAGGGCTTAACTTGAGATACACTTCCAAGTTCACTCACATGGTTGTTGATAGGATTCAATTCCTTTTGATCTGTTGGCCTGAGGACCTCATTTCCTAGATGGCTGTTGACAATAGATTTTCTTCAATTCCTTGCCAAGGGCCTCAACATGAATCTTGTTTCACCAAGGAAGAGGATCTCCTAAGTAAGCCAGCAAGGAAGAAGATCTCTTAGTAAGACTGAAGTCAGAATTTTGTAATCTAATGACGGAAGTGACATCTTCCTAATGCTGAGGTATGCTGTTAGTTAGAAGAAAGTTACACAAGGGGAGGGAATTGCACAAAGCCTTCAGTAGAAGGAAATAAGAATCAATGCAGCCCTCTCAGAAGCCACCTACAGCACCAGATTTGGGTCATATACCTATCCCGGAAGATGATAGGCAAGAAACTCCTCCCAATCACAGGAACTATGAGTAAGTGAGAGGATAAATCCCCCAAGGAAAATTGTGATTATCAGAAGAGAATGACAAATGCTTGGTGGTAAATACCACTGTCCATGACAGATACCTAGGTTGGTTCTGAGTTGTATAGAAAACAGAATAAAACAAAGCTCTTTTTCTACCCCCGTGACTTTGGGTCATTATGAATCTCAATGATTAGTTTAAATTACCTAATTATATGTTTATATTATGGTATAAAGATGTTTTAGTCTGTTAATTCAACATTTCAAAGCCAGCTCTATTCTTTATTTTTGGTTTATATTATAATTTTCAGCCAATGCTTCTATATGAAATAAATTAAATTTCCTGCATGTGAAGTTTCTAAAATTGTCTTAAGTGTGAAAAATACACACAGAATTGAGGCTCAAATTCTCTGAAAATGCATCCCACTTTACCCAAAGAAACATTTTACGATTGCTGGGAAACATGAAGCAGAAACAAGTTTTAGCCCTGGATTTTCAGAATATTAGTAGAAAATGGAAATAAGCATACTTTGAGGTCAAAATATTTTTCTGGCTTCTGATTTATAAGAATTATAGATTTACCAGTTGATTTTATCAAGAAGGTAAATAAGCATCCATCACAGAAGGTATTTACTCTAATCATGAGATTCCAGAACAATTAAAATAGTCAGGGTAAAACAAAAAAAATAAATTCAATGCCTCTTCTGTGTTTATACTTAATCTCAATATATTTGCTGAAGAGTGATGGGTTTTAAATTGACCCAGAGTTTCCTGGTGAGTTCTTTCAAAATCACAGATTTAATGGATTTTAGATAGTACCTGACTTATTCAGAGAGGTGATTATTTGAAATTTGTTTCTGATTCAGGAGCCAGTTGTCATTAATATATTATTACATGTATTATGATTATTATAGGAAATACTTATAGCTAATAATATATAGTCAGTATTTGTTATAGCTAATATTTATTTTCACTATTTATTAAGTGCATATATGCAAGTACTATTCTAAGCATTTTCTGTATTTGTCAACATGTTTAATCCTCTCAGCCATCATCTTTTTTAAAAAAAATTGTGTATTAATCTATTTTTCATCACTTTGTAAAACATACACAAAACGCCTGAAATTTCAACATTGCTTTTCTAGCAATTGAAGAGTGTTCATTTTCCATGGCTATCAAGCTAAGTTTGAACCAACATTAAACAAAGTCTTCTCTATATTCTCTCATGTCTGACTTCTGCAGCTGAGGCATGGAAAACTAAATTTCTTTCACAGGAAGTCCAATCAGCTGTTGAAACAGGGCTTACTTTGCTCTAAGAGACTGATAATATTTGGAGGCCCCTCTGCACTAAATACTGTCTTCTGAAATAATTAGTTGGGTCGTTTTGTCTATTTTCTCTTTAAGAGAAAGAGCCTTACAGGCTTTCTGTACCTTTCTACTTCCAGTTTCTTTCCTGTATTCGTCTGTCTCCCACATCCTCCAGGGGATGTTTGTGCAACAAAAATTTGATCAAATCTCTCTGTTCTCAGGAAAGAAAAGAGTTACTCTTTTTCGTGACACACAAGTCCCTTGATTGTTTCTTACTTATCCTATGCCCATTTCTGTGCAGATTTCCCTCCTCATACATGCGCATGTAACCTTTGAAGTACAGCACTAATGAATCATTCGTAGTTCCTCAAACATGTCTTTGCACATGCTGTTCCCTCTGCCTAGAACACCGTCTTCCTTCTTTTTGCCTCACAAACTCCTACTACATCTTCAATGCACAGATTAGATGGTCTCCTCTATAAGCATTCTATCCAAGCCAAGTTAAGCATCCTCCCCTTCCTTCAACATTTTATATATCTTGCACACATCTTCAATATAGTACTGATCATCCTGCATGGTAATTTTCTCCTTACTAAACTCTAAAATCCTTAAGGCTGGGACATGTTCCCTTTCCTCCCTGGACCTAACACAAAGGCTGTCACACACACTGGCTCGATGACTTAATTCTCTGATCACCTTCTTCTCCATGAAGATTCAAACATTTGCCAGAAACCTTAAAAGAAGGGAAAACAAGAACAAAATCAACGGAATTGCTATTTTTTTCCGATCAGGTATGGCCTATATATATAATTTTGTTGTCTGCCAAAAGATTTTAGCATTTTAGGCTTAAATTTCATTTCCTATTTTAGACCATACCCCAGCACATAAGTTGTCAGATCTGTTTTGTAAAGGCTGGTATTTCTTAAGTGCTCCATGAAATTTTAGTTAGAAATAAAATGCAAGGCCTTAGGGAAAATTGAATCCAAGCTCCTGACTTCTCTTAGCATTTAAACACTAGTTCATAATTTTGGAGCATTTTCCTATTTGAATCTTGGTGTTATGATCCAGAACTTTGTTGACCCACAGCATTCCCCAATTCTTGGGATGACTAAATCCCTTTCATTTTTCTGGTGTCTCCTACCTCTGTTTTTGAATTTCAGAATGGCTATCCTTTTGTCAGCGGAAGAAGCATTGTTCTTATGTGTTGTCTCTTTTCCTGCTAATTCTTATTGTCAGTTTTTCTCCACAAGGAAGAAGGGTACGTAGTTTATAATTCTTAGCTTAGAGGACATCTAGTATTGGAAAAATGAGATACTGCTACTTACTAGTTAAAAATAGAATTGTTAGTCAAGATTTTTCTTATTCTACCCTACAGAAATGAACATTGTTCCCTTCTAGCTCTTACACCTGTATCGCAAGATGTAAAAGCCAGGAAGGCAGGCTCAGGTAGACACCAGCACTTTAGTTATTAGCGGAATAGCAATTTCTTTCCCCAGTGTGGGCATAGCCTTCTTAGGAAATTGTGTGCTTTTCTTTAAACCAGTACCTTTAAAAATAACCAATCTTTATTTAAAATATGTTAAAATAACTAATTGTCCCTTTTGCTAATTATGATAGAAATAAGAATCATCCTTTCTTTGCCAGTCCTGGCCCCACGCACTTTTTTCTCTTTTTACTTTTAGATAAATTGCAAAAACCAGGCTGCTTAGTACTGAAGACCTGACTATTGGTGCATATTAGAGAAGACAAAGCCTCTAACAACATCACGGGTTTGGGAATTCTGATCACTTCACGGTACAATTAGCTTTCCTGTTACTTGGCCAGACTGCTCACCCCATGCATTTTTGTCTGTTGGAAACAAAGAGAACTGGGCAAGGAAATGCACTGATGGCTCAGGACCAGTCTCTTGGTCGAGGGACTGAATGAACAACACAAGTATCTATTTTACTGGCAGTAAAGATAATAATATATCCCTAGGATTGAAATAGCTCTAGTTACAGTGCTTTTTTTCACATGCTATTTCATTTCAGCTTCAAAGAAAACCATGGGATAGATGGGGTGAGGTGTACCCTCACTCTCCCAAAGAACAACTTAGCCTCCAGAAACTAGTCTATTGCTCTATATCAAAAATAGAAGAAACAAATATTTAAATCATGTAAACGAGCCAGGATTCAAACCCAGGCAGCCTGGCTCCAGAGTCTGGGCTACCAACCTCCACACTGTCTCCCGTCTCATCAAAGCAGCTGTCTTCTAGACACATAGCACAGGCATCCATCCATGCATTGCAGACCAGCTGAGCACCCATGTGGAAACAGCACTGAAGCTGCAGTATTTCAGAATCACAGCAAAGCCCTTTGCTGACATGAAGTAAAAATATCTAAGTGATGGGCTTTACTCTTCTCCCACCTCTTGTTATTTCCTCCTGCCTTTTCTCATGGCTTTTCACATTAGAAGCCAAGAATAATGAATGTAAGGTGAAGAATAAACAACAAAATAACCCCAAGAAGGCCTTTTAAAACAAACTTGCTGGCATGTGCATGGATGAGCATTCTTACTTCTGCAAAAGGGCAAATTTCCCATTAAGTGCACCTAGAACAGAGAAGCAGCATAGATTAGTGGCAAAAAGCTTAGTTAGGCTCTGGAGCCAGGCTACTTAGGGTTCAAGTTTAATCGGGCAGCTTTAGACAATTCATAACTTCTCTGTATCTTATTTTCATTCCCTATAAAAGGAGATGATAACAATAGTACTACTAATTTACTATAAAATAATGTAAGCCAATACATGTAGAACATTTAGAATAGAAGCTGACTCATAGTAAATCCTCAATATGTGTTTGCAGTTGTTTTACATAATGAGATAACATACATAAAAGGCTGGACACATAGTAGGTACTCAATAAATGTTAGCTACCTTCTATTTTCTGTGGCTTTGATCACTGGAAAGACTCACATTCTTTGAAAAATATGTGCCTTATGTCAGTCACCTTGATGCTAGGATAAACAGATAGTTATTACATTTTGAAGGGTTCAGTCAGTTTCTTTGTCTTTTTTCTTAAACTCAGTCCAGAAGTTTTCCTTCATCCTTCCCAAATGTCATTTTCCTTCTTAGCAAATATAATTAACTGCTGTCTCTGCCAAATCATCTTCCTCACCTTAACTGTTTCATCAGAGTTTCACCAAGTAACACCTATTAAAGCAGGCAGTATTTTCTCTAATGTATTTATCCTCTCTATGTGGTCACAATAAGAAGTCATGTCTCTAAGTTTTAACTTCTCTCATCTCAAAGGACATTTCTCTAAATGATAAACTCATTTTCTCCACTAGGCTATAAATTCCACAAGTACATGGATATTCAAAACTATCTCCCCACTACCTGGCAAAATGCTTAAAATGTAAATATTTACTGAAGAAATCAGTGAATGCTGAAGAAATGAAAAAAGAATAAAAAGAAGTATTTCCCCCTAATTAACTCAAACTTAATTAATAGTTATCTGAAATTGTTCAGAATATTAGCTGCCTTCTACTTTTAAAAGAGTACATTAATTTTAGTTACCTAAACTAAAATTATGGATTTATTTTAACACAATTATGACACTTTTCAGACAGCATCCTGAAGTAACACATTTATCTCAATCTCCTAGGACTCCAGTGGCTATGCAATACATAAGACAACTGATATTAAGAACATGCCAAAATTAAAGTACTACAGAGTTTAACTTCCTCAGGATCAACATGGCATTATAATATAGAGCAGGTTATTGGCCTTCAAATTGGCTATCCCCATTGCATAGAACTCTAGCTAGATGCCAGAATGGCTTGTTCCTTCACTACCTCCAAGTATCTGTTTAAATTTTACCTTTTCAGGGAGGCATTCTCTGATTATTCTGTCTAAAATAAGTCACTTCCCTCCCCATCATTCTACATTTCCTTTTTCCACTTTAATTTTTAAACTTTTTAAACTAGGCTTATTGAGGTATAATCAACCTACAACAAACTGCACATATTTAAAATGTACTCTTTTTGATATCTGATACATGTATACATGTCTGTGAAACCATCATCACAATCAAGAAAAAGAATATATTCATCATCCCCAAAAGTTTCCTTTAGCTTCTTTGTAATCCTACCAACCTCGTCCTCCTATGCCCAGGAGCCTTTGATCTGTTTTCTGTCACTATAGATAAGACATATATAAGTTCTCTCTAGAACTTTATATAAGTGGAATAATAAAGAATGCATTCTTTTGGTCTGGGTTCTTTCACTGTGCAAAATGATTTTGACACGCATCCATGTCTTGTGTGTATGAACTATTCATTCCTATTTATTGCTGAGTAATATTCAATTGTATAGATATACCACAACTTTTATTTATCCATTCGTCTGTTGATGGACTTTTAGGATGTTTCTAATTGTTGGCTGTTACAAATAAAGCTGCTGTCAACATGCATATACAAGTCTCTGTATGGTGTATGTTTTTATTTCTTTTGGGTAAATATGTAGCAGTAGAATGGCTGTGTCATCTAGTGGATCTATATTTGGCTTTTTAAGCAACCATCAAACTGTTTTCCAAAGTGGTTATAACATTTTCTATTCTCACCCAGCAAAGAATGAGAGTTTCACTTAATTCACATCATTGTCGCCACTTGGTATTCTCAGACTTTTTAATTTTAGACATTCTAACAACTGGTATCTCATTGTCATTTTCCTAATGACTAATGATGTTGAGCACCTTTTCAAATGTTTATTTCCTTTGTGTATATCTTCTCTGCTTCTGTTCAAATCTTTTGCCCATTTTTAAAAATTGATCTGTTTTCTTATTACTGAGTTTCGAGAGTTCTTTATATATTCTGGATACAAATTTGTTATATGATTCACAAATGTTTTATTCTAATCAGTGGTTTGTTTTTCATTCTCTTAATATTGTATTTCAAAGGGAAGAGTCTGAAAATTTTAGTTGTTTATCATTTTTATTTTATAATTGTACTTCTGGTACTTAACCTAAGGTTAAGACATTCCCTAAATTTTTTCCTAAGTTTTCTTCCAGAAATTTTGTAGTTTTAGATTGTATAGTTAGGCCTATGATACAGTTTGAGATAAATTTTATATATGGTAAAACAGATGGATTAAATTAAATTTTGCATGTAGGTCTTCGACTGTTCCAGCATAATTCATTGAAAGTATCTCCTTTCTTTACAGAACTGGCTTTTCACCTTTGTCAAAAATCAAAAATCACTCTATTCCTGAACCCTCTATTTTGTTTCATTGATCTATCTTGACACCAATATCCTATTGTGTAGATAACCATGTCTTTATAATAAGTGTTAAATCAGGTAGTATGCATTTGTGAACTTTGTTCTTTTTTCAGAGTTGTTTTGGTTATTCTGGGTCATTTGCGTTTCATATGAAATTTAGGAGAAGCTTGACAATTTCTACCAAACAAAGCACCTGCTGGGATTTTGATTAGGATTAAATTAAAGTTATAGACATATTTTGGAAAAACAGATCTGTTAACAATGTTGACTGTGCCAGTTTACTAACATAGTATATCTTTCCAATTTTAAGTGTATGGGTCTGACACATCTTTTGACAGTTTTATTCCTTAGAATATCATAGTTTTGGTGCTGTTGTAAATTATGTTGGCTTTTATTTCAAATTCCAATTGTTTATTGTTAGTGTAGAGAAATACAATTGCTGTTTTTATATTGATCTTATATCCTGCAACTTTGCTAAACTCACTTATTATTTCTTGTAGCTTTTATGTAGTTCTCATAAGATTTTATACATAGAAAATCATGTCATGTGTTAATATAAGCCAGAAGCACTTCTACTTCTTCCTTTCCAATATGAATGCATTTTATTTCTTTTTCATAACTTATTACACTAGCTAGAACCTCCAGTACAACGTTCAGTAGAAGTGTTGAGATTGGACATTCTTGTTTTATTTCTAAGCTTAACAGAAAAGCATTCAGTCTTTCACAGTTAAGTATGGTACTAACTGTAGGTTGTTTATAAATGCCTTTTTTATCAGGTTTAAGAAATTTCTTTCCAGTTTGCTGAGAATTTTTATGATAAGTAGATGTTCGGTTTTGTCAAATGATTTCTTGCATCTACTGAGATTTGATTATATGGTTTTTCTTTATTCGTTAATCTGATGAATTACATTAATTGATTCTCCCATGTTTAAGAAACCTTGCATTATTGGGGTAAACCTCATTTAGTCATATCATATTACCTTGTATATATTGTTGAATACTATGTGCCAAAATTTTGTCAAGAATTTTTACATCCATGTTTATGACAGACACTGGTACATATAGTTTTCTTTTCTCATAGTGTCTTGATCTGATTTTGGAATCAAAATAATGCTGGCTTCATAAAATGAGTTGACAAATATTCTTTTCAACTTTCTGGAAGAGTTTCTGTAGAATTGCTGTTATTTCTTCATTATATGTTTGGTAGAATTTATCACTAGAGCCATTGAGGCCTGGAGTTTTGTTTTGTATGAAGATTTTAACTGCAAATACAATTACTTTAATAGACAGAGAGCTAGTCAGTTATGAACTTTTCTTCATGAGTAAGGTTTGTTACCTTGCATCTTTCAATGAATTTGTCATTTCAAAGAGTTGCTGAATTTACTGATACTAACAGTTACTTGTAACATTTCTTTATTATCCTTTTCATATCCACAAAATCTCTTGGGCTGTCACTTCTCTCATTCCTGGTATTGATTACTTCTTTATTCTCCTTTATTTCCTGGTCAGCCTGAAGAGAGATTTACCAGTTGAACTAATCATCTCAAAAAACAGCTTTTGGTTTCATTGATTTTTCTCTATTGATTTTTTGTTTCACTTATTTATCCTCTGATCTTTATTTCCTTACTTCTGCTTACTTTTTTGGAATTATTTTTCATCTTATTCTCATTTCTTAAAGTGAATTTTGAGGAAAATAATTTGAAATTCTTGTCATTTCTAAGGTAGGCATTGTCCCTCACTAGTATAGTGGTGAGTATTTCTGCCTGTCTAACATAGGCATTTAGTGCTATACATTTATCTCCAAGTACCACCTTACCTGCATTTTACAAATTTTGATACACTCTGTTTTCATGATTAATCAGTTTAAAATATTTTCTGAATATATGAAAAACTATTCTAACTAAACTACAAACAAATGAAAACAGAAACCCCAAGATAAAGATGGTTACAAGGATGTGAAATAGTGGTAACCAGTGAATCTTTACAATAATTAAATCTAAACTGAAATGTATAAACCAACTGGGAGTGTGCAACATAAATACTAAATAAAGGCTCTTCAAAGAGAAGGAATGCATTAT